ATCTAGTGATTGAATAGGCTTATAAATGAGAAGTGAGGAAGTCTCCAACTGCATAGGAATTTGCAACAGATCCAAGTTTAGTTTTGTGAGACAAAACCAGCTGGCGATAGAGGAACATACCTTTTCTACACAGTGCTTCTCAAGGCAGGTGATGTAGGCAGAAAGTAATAGGAGACTCTGGCTATTGACTATTGGCCAGCAAGAGGAACAATGCAGAGCAAAAAAAGTTAAAGGTGACAGTTGTGTGTTATAGGAAATACTACCAAACAGAACCTTTGCTGCTTTTTCTAAGAACCGAAAAGAACAAAATAATATTTAGCAGTCTAGAACAGGGCTGTCAAACTCACAGCCCATGGACCGGATGCGTCACATGCTGGCCTCGCCCATGCCCGGTTTAGCAAAGGAAAAAAAAGTCCCAATACATCAAGTGACGCCATGATGCGAGTTTGACACGCCTGGTCTAGAAGAAATAACTCAAGTTCAAGAAAGGAGGCAGGCAATGGGATCACATTTGCCTTTTAAGAACCTAGTTTTTGATCAGGCTACTGATGCAGACTTTTTTCTGCACTTTCATCATATTCTCCATTCATTCCCATGTGAACACAAAGCAATGATGACAGCGAAGCACAAGAAAGTTCCCTCTGGAGTCATCCATAAGCATATATCCAAAACTCAGATCCTCATGCTTGTTCAAGGATTTTCTCCCTGTGATTTTTTCAAAGGGATGTGGCGAGATCTAAACCAGTCAGCTTCTGCAACAGGCATGTTAGCAAAAATAGTCTAATCGAAATAAAAGTGTAACTTAAGCCTAAAAAAAGAGAAATCTTGCTGAAATCTTGAGAAAACTTTCTCAAAGGCAAAATTAAATTCCTCGTGATATTTTTGAAGTTCAGAATGTCTATGGGTACTTGGATGAAGATTTATCCTTTTATCAATTCTAACATGCTTAAACAAACAAACACAAAAAAGCATATGAATAAATGCATAGCTTATTCAACAGGGAATTTGAAAGAAGAGTCCTTCAGGGACCTATGGTGGGATTGGTGCATTTTAGTCTTTTATAAACAAATGGTAAGCAACCATTTAGAATGGTACTTAGAATGGTAGAAACCAAAAGTGACTGGAGTTCTAGAAGGCTGTCTTTAAACTAGGAGAATGGTACATGCAGTTCCATGGAAATGTCAAGTGAAGTACGTTGGGGATCCATCCATCCTCCTGTATATGCATGAAGTTATACATATATACGACTGCATATGTAGTGATTAGAATGCTGCCTTTGATGTGGGAGCCGAGTTCAAATCCCACTGGTACCCACCTTACCAATAGAGGTCCTTGGGCTTCATCTGCCTACCTCAAATATGAGTGTGATATGAACTAGGAAAGTCATGCTGGCTCACATGTCACCCAAATTAACAAGATCTGCATCAGATGTCTGGGAACCCAGATAATCTGGTAAGTGGGGAGCTGCAACAAACCATACATGGACAAGAGAACCTGGAATTGATAGAATGCTATTACAACAGTAGACCTAATGAGAGAAAATATATGAAACATCTGAGGTAACTACAGATGGACAGGAAACAGCTAGTTAAACAATGCTTCAACATAGTAAAGAATTAGCTTCTCTCACAGCTTGAGAGAGAACCACACATTATATCCCAGACTCAAAGACCACCTGGAAGAATAAGTGGATGTGCAGCCAACACTTGAACCTGGGATGTCACTGCTACTCCCTCCATTGCAGAGCACTGCAGCTGATAGGAGATAAACTAGCCCTAGTCATTTGAGACTGGTTACTGAAGCTCAGTGAAGTACCATGCTAGAAGATGCCACTAGAGCCCTCATAGCCAAAGCAATAGCACTTAAGACTTACATACTGTTTCATACTGCGTTACAGCCCTCGCTAAGCAGTTTACAGAGTCAGCCTATTGGCCTGAACAATCTGGGTCCTCATTTTACTGACCTCAGAAGGATGGAAAGCTGAGTCAACCTTGAGCTGGTCAGAATTGAACTGCTGGAAGTCGGCAGAATTAGTTTGCAATACTGCATTCTAACCACTACGCCACTACAACTGTTGTGAACCTGGAAATACTAGGCCTCATAATCAAGAAAAATAAGCATACCTACCTCATCCCCGGGAAATGAAGAGAGTAAAAATCAAGACAACTCTGACAGAGGTTAGTCAGCTGGTGGAATTACTAAAAAATAAAAGGGCCTGATTCCATTTGCCCTAGAAACTGCTAAATAAAGGTTCACAATACACACTACCAGGCTAAGGAGAAGCAGAGCCAAGAAAATAACTAACCTGTCCTCCAAAGAACCACCCAAGATGTATCCCCATCTGCAGTAACATAGTAACTGCACAGCCACCAACAGCAGAAACTGAATAGGACTGGAAGAACATTATGGGAGAAAAAGAAGAACACAACACAAGAGGAAACTGGCTGCAGGATGTTGGTCACATTTGAAAGTGAGCAGCTGGAGAAGAATAGAAGAAAGCAACTAGAATAATAATATAACTTTAATGTTTTAGCTGAAAGAGAACTATTGTTTTGTAAATTACCATGATTCCAACTGGGGATAAGTATATGATTGTTCTGTGAGATGGGTAATCTCTAGATTTAATAAATAAAGTCTGTGATTTGATGGTGGCTTCAGGATATCTCTGGCAAAAAAAAGGCTACTGTTTTAAAAAAAACAAAACTGTAGACCTGAAGATGCAGAATGACTACAATTGTCCAAGTCCTCTCTGTCTCTATCACCCAGTTTTGTATCCATGTTGAACAATGACTGACAAATTAGGATTTCTTTGTTTATCAATTTTATTGGAAACAAAAACTGTTAACAAAGAAAAGTTTACCAATGTAGTTTAAATGAGCAACACAAAGACCGCCAAAGCTGCAGAAAGCATGGGAGATATAGGGGAGATGTATTTTATATACTATAGCACATTGGTACATTTAACATTTTTATGGTTGCTTACAAATATTTCAAATGGATTCCCTCATTTTAACTACATGGAAGCCAGATAATTTAGTTGATCTCAAAGCTAAGGATTAGCAAAGTACTAGCTATTAACAAAAGCTAAATCATGTTTTGTAGAACTAAGAAAAATGCCATTTCACAATTTAGCATTCATAAAATCACAATACATTAAGCTTTTACTTACCTTGACAACTGAATATTATCTTCCATTATATTTGACAATTTACTGCTTCCAATACTTCATGTACCTCTAACAATTACTCTTTTGTATTGGAAGCCATATAGAACAATACTCTTTGTATGCTATTAAAATAAAAACTTGGAGCTTCAGTAAGAGGGGCATGTCTTTAAATTTTTAAGGGCATCTTCTACAAAATGACAGCATTCTCATAAAATGGATTAAATATTTTCCTGAACTGCTGCATTGAAGATTTCTTTCTACTTGTAATAATATGAAAAATTTATTACCAGTCCAGACCAAACTCAAAGTGGAAACACGCTTCTCAACCAAGAACTAACTTAAACTAGCATTCCAAAATGTATCGCAACTTAACCTGGTAACATTAAACATTTCTGAGATTTGCTATTTTGATATATAAATATTAGTGTGGTATAAGCAACTAATCATTCAAGATCAACATACTTTTCTGTGCACTATTAAACAGAGCTGCTATGTCCACCTTCAAATTTCACATTAGTAGTTAACTTGGTGGCTTATTGGTTGCTAAGTACAAAACAATCTATGTGCAAAGCACAAAGGATTCTGAAAAGCAACACCACAGTCTAGGTCTTAAATTCATTGAATATACCAATGAGGAAAACTCTCCCAATGTGTCCTACTTTATTCAGCAAGGCCTCAACACAGTGCATAGTACATTTGAGTAATTATAATTTGCCAATTTATTGGTTTTTGTTTTTACTGTTTACAATTTACCTACCTACGTGCGCTCTTCAGATGTCTGTGCTCATTTGAGAACACCCCCATCCACAACTTATTTAAGCTTGTAGAAAATTTGATTTGGAAATTAAACATTTATACATTTTTCAAAATATCTTTTAAGTACAGCTTTCAGCAGAACTTGACCTGGAGCGAGACCTCTTTTTTGGCGGAGGAGATGGAGAGGAATTCTGCGTGCCAGAGTGGTTTTTTTCAGAGCTTTTTCTTTCAGGTGTACGGCTTCGAGAGCCCCTTTTTTCCGGGGTGCGGCTTTTAGAACGAGACTTGCTGGTTGACTTAGAGGATCTTGCAGATCTTGACTTGCTGCGAGACCTTGAATAACTTCGAGAACGAGACCGGCTCCTAATAAATATTCAGCCATTAGTTTTCATTGTGTGTGACACTCTATAATTCATATTCACCAAATACGTTTGCATGCAGTTTTGCATGTCTATCATAGAATGCATATCACATAGAAGTCTGAAAATCTTAGCCTTTAAAGAACTTTCTTTACAGTTTATCTCTTTCCAGCATTTACAGCAAATCCTGAAAATGCAAGTTTCTCTTTCAAGTTCACTAGACTTACTGCTTCTTGAAGCACCAAGAATATGCTCCTCAGTTCATAGCCAATGTCTCTTTCCTAGTCTATTTCCCAAGAATTACGCATTTGGATTTCAATTTCAGCATAGAGTACAAGCACCAGTATTTAAAATAAAAATAATTTTGAAATGCTTTGTTCTGCAACCTTAGCATAATTCAGTAAATCCATTCATTTATCCATTAGCAGTAATTGCTCTATCTAGTAAGTCTATATGCAACCCCGACCTAGTAAGAAAATCAAGTAGAAATTCCACAATTTAAGAGGGAAAGGAAAGGTTTCCTTCCTTTAAACCTTGGCATAGTGTGTTTATTTAAAATGGACAGCCAATGCAAATATTTTAATTTACTCTGGGTGGATCACGAATGATTGGAGCAGCAGCAAATTCAGTTGCTTTCATTTATATTATGGGTTATTTTCTTTCCTAAGTTTTTGAACAATGTTTTAACTATTTATGTCTGATATCACTCTTTCTTGTAGGTTCTGCCATACTTGACTTAACCAACAATGTACAAATGATGTTACCTGAAGTGTGAAATGGAGCCTCTAGAGAATTTGTACAAAATCTGCTACTAATACCAAATGACGGAAAATTTATGCTTTGATAGAAAATTTTGGGGATACAATGCTGCTGCTGCAACATTCCCTGAATTATCATATAAATATTCCAAATTATTTTATTGCTATTCATATTATATTTTATCTAACAAAATACCTGCGCCTTTTGCGATCTTCAATTAGTTTAATTCTACGTCCATTCAATTCACTGCCATCCAATTTATCCATTGCACTCTTCATGTCACTGGATGATGCAAACTCTACCACTCTGTTGATTCATTAGCAAAATTACAATAAAAATTATTAGTGGTGATAAAAGTACGGTATATTATATTTCTTCTTTCATAGAATTATAAATACATTACTGGTTATCTTAGTTTCTCCCAAAAATTATAACCAAATGTCAATATTACAGTATCTTCAATACCTAAGCCTAAAGTTGTTACAATTTCAGAACATAAGAGAGATGTGAAATATTTTCTCTATATGTTCTTTAGAACTTCTCCATGGAAATTTTTCTGTTTCTAGCAAATGATTGTGTGGAAACAATTTTTAAACAGATGAAAAGGAGTTGTTTCTCTCAGTTGTTTCTGACTGATTCTATATATAATAAAAACAGTTAACAGATTTTTGGGTTTTCTAGTTAATAACATTCAGAAAAATTCCATGATCCCAATAGACAGGATGGAGTTCTCATCTGAATAAGTCTGTGCTGATTCTGGAATCTGATTTTAATAGCATTTTCAGTTATATTCTGGAACAAAGATGTCTGTTAAACAGCATGGTGGAAGGGCTGGTGTTTAAAGCCCGCCCAGCCTCAGTAGATGCAAAATTTCAACTTGCCCTTCATTTGGATTGTTTCTGTGAGCATCCACAAAAGTAACTTCCCCAGCTTTCCTCATGAAGTCTTTCAAATCCTGCAGTAAGAGTGATAGTGCAGGTTAGGAAATAAGATTCAAGATGCATTGTTAAACAGGAGTTAATAGTTAACAAACTATATAGCAAAATGTCATATGCTATAACTATGAGAAAAATTAAACTAATTTGTATAGTTAAGATATACCTTCTATAATGCCTAAAGTATATATAACATGTATTTTAACTATGAACATATGCATGGTGTTATTAAATGCAAGCATTTGATTGCCTGAAATCTCAGTTCACTTGTATATTCAAGGTTTGCCTAGAAACATACTATGTCCCAATCTATAAAAATTAAACACAAATGTCTTTATTAAGTTAATGCTAAGATTCTGTCACAACCTGTCAAAAGATAGTATTAAATTTTTTATGGCTTTTGTCAGTCCGTGCCACAACCTTAGTGTTATTTTAACAGAGACTTGCATTTAATGTATTTGAGACGGTGTTTATTTTGCAATGCTATGTAACTAAGTTACTTTTTTAAAAAGTCCTTTATGCATTATTTCTTAATTTTTACAAAATGTCCCAATAATAGCTGACATTTTATAGCCAGAGGCTACTTACCATAACATACCACAAGTGGTCAGATGATATAAGCAGGTACCCTTAAGCAAACAGTCGCTTGTCCAATAAGCCTAGCAGTTCAAGAGGAACTCCCTTACATGGGAGGGGCAGAGGAATGGAGCATAGCAATGTGCTTCAGGGAAGATACCAAAGACCCTGAAAGCATTGGAAAGTCTCCGGAAGTGGCTCTAGAACCTGAGGTTGACCTGTGCTAGCCAATCGAGCTGTGAGCCAACCAGGGTCTACATCGCCATGATAGCTGTGTCATGGGTACCAAAGGGAAAACTCAGAACAGGCCAAGCCCTAGAAATTCAGCCACTAGGAACCCCAACCTCTTGGGTTCTTTCTCCTCCACACAAGAGAAACGAGGGCTAACCCAAAGCAAGGCTGTTAAAAGAGGTTCAAAATGAACTTGGTTAGAGTATATTTGTGAAAAAAAATATACAAACAAAAAGCCTAAAGTTGAACTAGATTACAGGATACCTCAAGTTATATAGTGTTTAATAAAGTACTGCTCAGATTTTACAAACTAGCATGTGAATCTAACAGTTCAAACACCTGAGCCTTCATCCTAACACAAAACAAAGCAGACATTCTTTCAAAGCAGGATTCAATTATAGCATACTGAGTACGCCAGTCAAAATTCTCCATGATAGTGAGTTTTTTAACAATAGAAGAACTTTGAAATCAAGATAGGAGTAATTAGTATACACTTGAATGAATCCTCTCAATATAAAACTTACAACACATAATGCAGTATGATAGTAACAGTAATTCAAATCACAGTAAAAGGTGTATTTAAACAACCCTTGCACAATTTTTAATTCATTAACTATGAAATAAGACACTCATTTATCTATGAATCTGATTATATCATATTTCAAATTTAATTACCTGGTGTGAAATTTAATTAAGGTTAATGTTAAATTAGCTCTACATATTTCAATGTCACAAGACATTCAATTATTTTTCTTTAGAAATTAGAAGATTGAAATAACTATATTAACACTTTTATTTAAAAAGTATTTTTATTTTTCTCATCCTAGATTAGTGGAAAATTTTTAAAGGGGGGTAGGAAAATAAGTTGTATATATGTACCTTAGGAGTTACTAGCATCTGGATTTTAAAAGTATATATCAGTGGGAAACTAATACCTTTAAACCTAACATCTTAAAATTCTAACTTAAAAGTTAGAATCCTTTAAATGCTAGCTAAATTCACAACATTTTATTGAATTTGTGAACTTAAGTAAAGCCTTGCCTCAGGCATGATTGATGACTTCTGTTAGTAAGGCTCAAGTTAATTAAATAGCCCTCCCACTCAAATTAAACAGGAGGGAAAGTGATTTCAAAGGACTATGAAACTTAGCTTGTGTTAAGAGTTACCCCAGGATTTTCCTCTTCCAATTATAATTCCTGAGATCTTACAAAGTGTATCTTATGACAATCTAATACTATATTCTGTTACATTTTAATTAGGAAAATAGAAAAGTAGGTGGTTGCTATTCAGTCTCTCCTGTTTCAAAGGAAATTAAGCTAGGCAAACAAGCTAATTAAGAAATGGGGATGGATGCATTATGATAAATATGTTTTCTTTCTGCCAGTAGCAGGCAGAGACTAACATTTATCAGGTTAAAACGTCTATTTTTTTCAAGCACAGTATGAACACTGAGCACTAACTGAAGTCAAGTAAATAATATCTGCCATAACTTAGTGTTTCTTATACAATTGATAATCTCATCTAAATCAAAACTTTCAATACCTTCCTTCAAAATAATTAGCTGCTTGTATCATGGAAGCAAAATAGATTTGAACAGAAAATCACTTTATAGTTTAAAAGCAAGGAAATTTTTAGAAGTTGTTTACAAAGAAGAACCACATGGATCCCATCTATAATTAGCTGTAACGCGTGGATCACTCACAAATGGGGAGGATGGCATACACTTAACCTGACAAAGTGATTGTTGTGGTTTTTGCATGCATTTCAGCAGAAGTATACAGTGTTTGATGTTGCCCAATGAAAACTCACATTAATTGTTTCATACAATTTTTCTCTCCACAGGTAACCAAGAACTAATAGGATTTTTAAAGATATGAATACTGGCTCGTAATAAATAAATACATATACACACATGTGCTTCCTGTGTGTGTTTGTATATACACATTTAAATACACACACACACAAAGTCCCAGAGGAATCATACTAGATGTGACTGAAGAAAACTGCCAGAATATGGTTGTAAATATGGTTATCATAAATAATCTAGTGGGTTTGCCCAAGGTTTATCTATCTTATGTTTTCCTGCTTTCACAAAAAAAATACACAGAAAGGCATTTAGAGACCATCATGCCAGGAATAGCAAACAAAACATGCATACATTTCAGAAAATCAATTGTGAAACTATTTTTCTCTGGTTAAAATGTCAAAAAGACAACATGCCAAGTAGTAAACGTAAAGATTTCCTCTATCCAGTTGTGTCTGACTCTAGGGCAGGGGTCTTCAAACTTTTTAAATGGGGCCAATTCACGGTCCCTCAGACTGTTGGAGGGCTGGACTGGCTGGGTGGGCGTGACTAGGTCATGTGACTAGGTGGGTGTGACCAATTTAACAGTCCATTAAACAATGCACACAAATTAAACTTTAATTTGTTTTGCTCCTGGGGGTTATTTTATTTGCTTTTGTTTGCATGTTGCTCTTTTGGTTGACTTTTCTTTTTACTAGATCATTTTTTCAATTCTTTAGGAGTCTAGTGGTCCACTTCAGAAAACTCAAGTTTTGCAGCAATTCTTCTCAGCCCCAAGGAGCTTGAGAAATTTAATTAATTTAATTAGTTCAATTTATATGCCGCCCCTCTCCGAAAACTCAGGACGGCATATAAATCTCTCTTCTCTCTCTCTCTCTGTCTCTCTCTCTTTCTGCCCGTTCTCTCTCTCTCTCTCTCTCTCTATCTTCTGGAGGCGGGGAAGCGAAAAACAGGCAGTTTTCGCCTATTTTTTTGGCCTCCTGCAGTGGTGGATTGCTCCCGGTCGGTCCTTGTCAACCGGTAGTAACTGCGGTGGGAGGCTCTGCCCACCCACCTGGATGTCATCGTGAATGATCTGCGCATGCGCAGAAGCTTCTGCACACACACTCCCATTGCAGAGGTAAGTAGAACCCATCCCTGGCCTCCTGGGGCGTCTGTGTGCTGTTTTTCATCTCCCCCGCCTCCAGCAGCATTCTGCAGGAGCCAAAAACAGGCAAAAATTGCCTGTTTTTTGGTGAAAAACGGGCCACTTTCCCCCCGTTTTTTGGCCTCCTGGGATGTCTGTCCGCCCCGTTTTTCACCTACCCTGCCTCCAGAACGTCTCTGCAGGCCAAAATTGTTGACCCTACCTTTCAGTTCCAACCTGTGGGGCTTGCAAAGGTAACTCCTGCGCTCGGCACAAGGGTGGGTGGGGTGATGTGGATGGGGCAGCCTCGTGGTCCTGCATGAGCCAGATTAATGGCTTTGGCAGGCCACATGCGGCCCGCAGGCCATAGTTTGAGGACCCATGCTCTAGGGGGTGGTACTTGGCCCCGTTTTTTAGCTGAGGGGGCCTGTGTTCAAAGACATTTCTGGTCATGTGGCCAGCATGACTATACAGTGAGGCAATGGAATGCTGTTACCTTCTCACCAAAGTAATACCTATTTATCTGCTTGCATTTGCATGGTTTCACACTGTAAGGTGGGCAGGAGCTGGGGCAGGAACAGGAGCTCACCTCATTAATCCCAAGTTTAATAAATAAATAAATAATGCAGTACTTGAGTCTTGAACTGCCAACCTTCTGTTCGACAAGCATCTTAACCACCAGGCCACTGTGCCCCCTATGCTAAGTAGTATCAACAGGTAATTGAATCTGGTTGTTGACAGGTGACTAAACGGGAGGAACAAAGAGGCTTTCTTCAGGACTAAAATAATGGAAGGACGCCTCTTGTAGTTAAATGTTACAAGTCATAGAATGCTGAATCTCAGATGCTGTGATGACATAAATTAAGAGCTGTTAGCTTCATTATTTATATACATACTAGTATGGATGCATACTGGAACTCAAATGCTGAGCTAAGTAGGTGTGATTAAGCAGCATTCTAATATTTTAAAATATTCCTGCTGGAAATCTCCTTATCAGAGTTCTTTCCACCTGGGTTTTTATAAAAAAAACATTACATATTTCAATTCTAAGCCATTTTTCTCTTCAGATATTTTATTTCTTCTACATCAGGTCTGTTAGCCTGTGAATCATTTTGGCAGGGGCTGCAGATTATGTGCTTGTTGTAACATGTTGTAACACTCATAAAAGATACAAGATAACTTTTTTCAAACTACTTTACTCACTTTTCCCTGAATTATAAGAGGGCTATATTGCTGAATGTAATCTGTGTAAGACAAGTTTCATATTCATGTCATAAGATTTGACATGTCAGAAGAGATGATATTGCAAACCTGGAAGATTAGAGATACACCAATTAAACAAAATGTTTTTAGTTTTGGACAGTGTGCTCCCCGAAATAATCAAAATTCCAATCTTCCTGGTTTCTCCCATGTGAATTTCTCATATTAGAGCAAGTGTAGCATGTTATGATACTCAAGCAATACATCTGTTCTCCTCCAAATGCTATGACCCTATCTCTATGTTGACCTAAAATTATTATGCAATATATTAAACTGCTAAAATCAGTCTCTTGACAGCTCTCCAGTTCATATTTGCGCAATTATAATAAATCTTGATGTAACATGTTGGTTTAGTAAATTTCAGATGAATCAAGGGAAACTCTGTTGATATATCTGCCACTTTATATATGTATAAAATCCCAATGGATTTAATAGATTTTTTTATTTTAATAGATACCTCTTTTTGCCCATTAATCTGTTAAACTAAGGGTTTAGTTTACTTCCAACTTTTTATTTGTTCTTCATTCTTTGAGATGATGGAAAGCCCTATTTAAAGAACAGATACTGAAATTTATAGAGTGAAAAATAAGAGCACTCAAAATGTTTCAAGGCAGAATTTTTATTGTAAACCACCAAGAGTCATTTAAGTGAGACTGGCAGTGTAGAAATTTGATTGCTGTCTCAATCATTTTTGTACACTTATGCAAAAAGGACTAAAATGAAGTTCAATAAAAATGATGGCCATATGACGATATCATGTCAAAAATGTAATAGCATTGTATTAGTTTATGCATGATATAGTTCTTCATACAGACTAAAATTATAGAAATTTTGAATAAAATCTAAACAGAATTGGTTAAAGAGCTGTGATGGTATAGTGGTTAGAACACAGTATTGCAGGCTAACTGCCCACAGCCAGGAGTTCAATCCTTACCAGCTCAAGGTTGACTCAGCCTTCCATCCTTCCAAGATCGGTAAAATGAGAACCCAGATTGTTTGGGGGCAATATGTTGACTCTGTAAACCGCTTAGAGGGGGCTGTAAAACTATGAAGCGGTATATAAGTCTAAACGCTACTGAAATTAAAATATAATATTTACAATTTACTGAGTTTTCTTACTTCTTCCTATTAACATCTATTCTTTCAATCTAGCATAATGCAGAGTTCTTTTTTTTAAAAAAATCTGGAAATGTGTACTTTTTATACACTGACAACAGAATTTATGCTGTGAGAAGCACATACAGAAATAGTAGGTTGGAGAAGAATGGCTTAGTAACCTAAATGCTATTTTAAAAAATCTGAATGGGAGAATGAAATGTAACATATAATTGTTTCCAAACTTGTTGAAGGGGGTATAGGTTTGCTAAAAGAAGTTTTTAAGTAATTCCAAACAATTGCTAAGGGCCAAAACAATCCCATTAGTAATAAACCAACTCAAGGACACATTAGAGAAAAACAAACTTGTAGTCTAAACTTTCACTCCCAAATGAATATCTGAAAACAACCCCAAACAGTTTGTTTCACTGACAATACTTATGCCCAAATACATGCACAAATTGGATATTTAAAATCATGTTAGCTACTCACTGTAAGTCACAAGTCCCTTTCAGAATACAGATAACATAATGCACGAAACATCCTGCATTAGAACATAACACAATACTTTTAAACAGGTGAATAATTCTGTTCATTCTATTGAAGCCAGATATAAAATTGGAAGCAATCTGCAGCTTTATCACTCAATGAGACCAGCCTTTTATTTATTATATTGGATGTTTAAGCATTGAGAGCTTTTTTTCCTGACAATCTTATGAGGTGAAGATTTCATTTGTCCAAGAAACACTAATTAGCAGTTTTTTAAAATCTAAGCATAGTTTGCTTGTTGGTAATGCAAATGAAAGAAATGTAAGCCTCTTACTTAAAAAAAAAAGTGCTAATGCTTTATGTTACCTATTTTAGGAAACCAAAACCCATCCTTTTTAAAAAACATGTTATTTAAAGTAAGCACCAACTCACCTGCCAGCTGACACGTGAAGAAAGATTCTCAACTATAAGTCTGTGTTCAGTACGAAGAGGTGGACCATACTGACTACAAATGGAAAACATTTCCCATTACTCTTTAACTAAATTTCCAGCAGAAAATTTAAACACTTTCTACTTTTGTCAGATTTTATCTCTTCAAAAAATTTCTAAAAAATATGACTACTCTGTATTTAAATAATGTATTTAAAGAACAGCAGAGTTGTTATTAGTTTACATTATGAAAGCAAGCAGAACTACTTATGACTGCCAACCTCCCAGTTATGTGATTGTATTTTGGATAATTGGCAACTGGCTCGCATTTACCACCGGTTGCAGTGTCCTATGGTCACATGACTGCAGTTAGCAACATTTTTTTGCTGGTTTCCAGCAAAAAAAAAAAAAAAGTATATTCAGAAAACTTGATGTACTTAATGATCACATGATTTACTTACAACCACGATTCAATTTGCAATCATTACAACTGTCATAAAATCAAGTCTGGTCACATGGTGCCTCAACTTATGACTGCAAGAACTTGCAATCAAAATTCTGGGCTCCATTGTAGTTGTAAGTCAAGGATTACCTGTACAACATTTCAGTATACATAGTCCTCGAGTTACAACCACAATGAGCCCAAAATTTATGTTGCTAAGTGAAACATTTGTTATGCGAGTCTGCCCCATTTTACGACTTTTCTTG